CCGAATCGCTGTAACGGGAAACGAAGGGGCGAGGCTGGATAGCGCGGAGAACGAGGACGGCGGCAGCGTCGGCAGCAGCGTCAGGGGCGTCGTCGCTGTTCTGGACGATGGCCACGAGATGGACCCTTGCAGCTGCGACCTCGTCAAGGTTAGAATTTTTTTTCCCGATGCCCCAATGGTCAGGTAGGTCTAAAACTTGCAGCCAGTGCCCCTGTAGCTGCTATATACTCAACATCTCAACAGCTCCACACCGAAATCCGTGTCGCACAACGATCGTGTTGCCGCATGCGGAATCTCACTCCCAAATACCCTGAGTTATCTCTTTGTACCCGAGCCGGGGGGCCAAGGTTAGGTCTACAGAACGCTTGCATCAGATGAAAACAAATCCTCCCGATGCTGGTATGTGGTCGATCGCACGCAGGCGTCCACCAAGTATCTTCACCAACGGCTTTTGGTGGTCCTTGTTAGCCCTCCGCTGCCGGGGATCATCACCAAGCATCGCCACGGTTCCGGAAGTTGTGCGTCTCACAGAGGAGGAAGAAGCGACAGTGGCGGACACGGGGGTGAACGTGGAGACGAAGACAGCTGCACCACCTGCACCAGCGGGAGCAAGGACAAGAGCATTTTGTCAGACGACGATCCCGATCGTGAGCCACCCTACAGGTTCTTCATCGTCTTCGGGCTATATCGGAGACGGTAGTAGTTTCGTGTACGCGAAGTATGATTCCTTAACAACTCCGCAACAAGCTGGAAGTGTTTGCGGCTCGTCTCCATCAGCTGTGCCGACAGAGGTGTGCTGATGGGCAGTGTGTCTCCTGTTTAGTATCACGAAGGCGACATTGGAGCGGTCTCCTGCGGCTCTCTGCACCTGTTACGCTCGGACTGATGTTCTCCCCTCCCCGTCTGTCGTCTCTGCCGCCCTCTAAACGCGCTCTGCCCCACCACAACTCGTCCTTGGTGGATCGTCTGAGGTACAGTAACCATTGTCTCTCACGTTCTACCGATACTGAATGTTGTCGGGGAACGAGAAAGCGGCGGAGGCGGCGGCGACGAGAGGAACAGCATGCCGAGTTCGGTTGATTCGGAGGTGGGGCCCGCCTCCACAGGCGTGTCTTGCTCGGAGCCAGTCACAAAGGCAAAGGCAGGGCGACCTGAGCTGACTCCACCTTTTAGGGCCGAACGAGGGAGCTGTAGTTCGGCCGCGGAGCACGTGGGTGGAAAGCCGGATGGAGTGGGCGGAGGCAACAACAAGAAAGCTAGGAAGAGTGGAGGCGAGCTCGGTAGAAAAAGGAACGGGGACATTGTTGTGCGCAGGACTAGCAAACGTCGTAGCAAAACCAGCGGCGATGGCAGCGGCGGAGCACCAAAGGCTCCAGGGAGCACTCTCCACCTTCAGGTAAAGACCATGGAACCAAGCTTTACAGCTTAGACCTTGCCGTCTTTCTTGTGGACATCCTCAAGGTGCCTTCCAAGACTGGTGTAGTAATCCCTGCAACCTAACGCCTGTACTTCAACTCGAGCGCAGTCGGGCGGCTACACTTTGTAGTTGCATGTCCCCTCTCCAAATGGTCATTCTGCTGCGTTCTCGTCCGCTCTGTTGGTCGGAAGAGAAGTATGGACAAGGAAACAGCGTAGCTGCTTATAGAATCAGCTCCGACAACTGTGAGCGGGAAAGTCGGAGGCCGTGCCGTTTATGTATAAAAAGTACTTTGAGAGTTCCGACTTGACACAAAATAAACACTCCTTTCATCCAGGAAGATACTCCCGGCCCTCATCCTCTCCGACTCCAACATAGAGCCCAACCCGTTTGGGATGGTGCCTGACGAGAGCGTGATACTACCTAGCGGACTTGAATAAGCAAAAGGCAGGTCGCTTGAGACGATGAACCAGCGGCGGGGGCGATCAACTACGGTGGTTCTGCAGAAACGACCCCCCCCGCCACCCCTTCCCTCCGAGTAACATCGGCTACACAAGAGCGTTTGCCCCGTGAAAATAACGCAATAACACACCATCAGAGTCTGACACCACGAACGAAAATCGCGGTCCTTCGAAAGGGCTGGGCGAGGGCACCACAAACAAACTTGGCGCCCCGTAAAAACGGAACCTACCTGTGAAGAAAGCACACGGGGGTGGGTGGGGGGGGGGGGGGGTTATGGGAGCAGATTGTCCGGAAGACTGTAGCACCACTGGTATATGATAGGTGGAGAGTCATCACCTCTAGCGCTCTGCCTCACGATGGGACTGAGCCCGTATTGTCCCCTGGTTGTCCGCCAGCCTATCCTCGAACCACGCTCTTCCTTCTCATTGCCCACCCTGAAAGGGAAGAGCTGCTCCCCTGTCAAACATTTCGAGTAGGCTGCCGACCTGGGCACATTCATCCCATCAAGCAAACGAGGCGACGGAGGGAAACCATGTAACACATGTGACAGAATACCTTCGTAGGCAACGAGAGGCGTGTCGAGACCGTTAGTCATCATGCAGAACACAAACAGGACAGTTGCTCCCAACGCCAGCCGGCAAACGACCGATGGTGCGCCCGCACAAAACTACGCGTGACAGAAAGACGAAACACGCAGGATGGTGGCTTGGGAGGTGGTGCAAATGAGTCCTCGCTCGAAGGCTATCCCGCGAGGCTCAGGCCGGTTGCCAATGATGGACCCAACACAAAACGTTTGGCTTCACGCTTCACTCTCGAACCGGAGCTGATGCCAAACGGGAGTGTAGACTGTGTTTCCGCCACAGGTCTGGGTGTTTCGTGGGGCGCGCGTCCCAAGATGTTGTGGTATGAAGCAATTGCAGCGTCACTTCACGCGAGAGGTAGATCCAGCACAGCGTACTCTAATGGCATGCGAAATGAGACGAGGAAAAGACGTGCAACAAACAGCAACCGGACGAAACGTGACGGAAGCAGATTGGAGCGGCGGCGTTCATAGAAGCCGGCAACGCCGCCACGAGCGGCGGCGACGAAGGCGGCAAGCCCAGCGTTGTTTCGTTGGTTGACCATCACGGGAGACGAGACAGCGGATTTATCAGGTAGGGGGCGAGACGAAACAGAACAGGTGGTTGCTGCGTTCGATACCCCGGCCTTAGCGTTATATTTTCTAGTTCTTCAGGTGTTCTTCTGCCACATATTGGGATATAACACAAGGCGGTGTACTCAGAATACACAGACGCAGCATCCCGTGCGATCAATGGGCCCTCCAAAGGGCCAACAAACAATACGTCATGGATCAAAGGAGGGTACGCTTGTCTTTGCACGTTGTCATCATTCTAATGCCCTCTCCTGTATGGCTGCACCACTCCGACTAGGTATTGGAATCCCGGGACAGTTAAGCTGTTGGACATCTTGGTTCGTATCCAGCACAAAACTACCGTGGAAACGGTAAGCCAAGAGAGAACGGGGCACGGGCATGGGGTAAGCGGATGTCTACCTAACGCGCGTATTAATCCAATTTCCCAACACGTGGGTCTCGTGCCCTATGCACACAGTAAGCCATACACCGTACTGGTTCACCGAGAATTTATCCTTGCACAGCACAGAAACGTGAACGCTCAAACCCTCCGGCAGGTTCTAGTGCGTTCGCTTCGGTACGAAGAGACTGTCCAGCTGGGATGCCGGCACCTGGGCTGCGACGAGCTGGAACCCCTTGTAGGGGTGGCCCTCTACCTTCAGACGAATGGTACGTTGGTCTTCTGTGGAGACACGTGTGTTCCTGAAGGCGTCGTAGATTGAGGCGGGTATTCAGTCGGTCGCGGTCTAAACCAGGTGGATTCGTGGTCATGCTAGATGTAGGGCAATGACGCTGCAGTTTCAGACGATCGACAAAGTCGGCTGGTCCCTCAGTCATCCAGTGGAACCTGCTTCGTTACCACAACCGAAGCAGTTAATTGCTTTCGTTTGTACGTGGCGGAATCTGTTGCCTGGCCAAAGGTACCAGCAGCCCATGTGACCCGTGAGTTGAGATGGGCAGGGTTATCTGATGTCCGCCAACGACATGATCTGGTGAATTCCCCTGATGTCATCAGCGAGAGTCACTTTCCTGTGCCACTTAAAGTACCATATGAAGTTTCGGAAAACTTTACTTCTCGCCGTTGCCCACAAAGTTGCGCCTGTGAGCTCATCGTCTTTTGGATGTTCGTGAATTTCGTCCGAATCGCAACAATTCTAGTCTGCATCCTCAATGTGGATTACCATGAGGCAAGGGCTTTCTTCAAGAAAAATATCATACCACATTCGAATTATCCTCGTTGGAATTGTTCGATTCCTCAGGGAATCCCCTTTCTATCATCGGCTATTGCAACCTCATGGTGGAAAGGAACCTTGGGGAGGTCACCTTAACTACCGCTGGCGTTACTCCAATGACGTCAGCCAACCCAAGCCAGACAGCATCGACAGCAGCACCAAAAGACGGGGGGAGCGCTCAACCTCCGGCTGTCGAGGCGAACAAGGACGATGTCGACATCTCCACCCCAGGACCGTCCATAGCAGCAGCAGCAGTGGTCGCAGCCATGCTAGAAACGGCAGTTGAATCGGTGGCGCAAGGGATGGAAGGTGGAAACAGGCCGGGAGTCCTCGCGGGAGACATTGCCGCTGGTGATGAAAAGGGAAAGCACGGGATACAAACTCCACAAAATAGCGTTCCGCCTGCGACGATTTTCAGGTGTGAGACGAAGGGGCGGTCAACCGGCTGTTGGCGTTCTTTCCCAAACAAACAATCGCTTCCGTTCATGTGTTCCACCCCGCGTAGTGCTGTGAATAGGCCCAGGGTCGGTATGAAAACCACGAGTTATCTGCTCTAGACTGCTGTGCATGTACAAGCCACTTTTACCAAGATGACCTTCCGTCCATATTGGTGTACAGCCGCTGACAGCATACCGTCGTCAGTATCATGCACATCACCGATCACTCACCAGTTGCACCCACCCCTCCACCGGTGCGCGCGTCTCCGCGTCGTCGCTGTCCATTGTTTAAACAAATGTGAGCCAGGTTTCAAGAAAACATGAACGTGTTCAAGGTTCTCGAGGGCACAGTGCCTTCTTCCGTTGAGAGCCGCATCATTGCTTTTCTAAGCTGTCTTTCGGCGCAGCAGTCGTTCATCCTCAGGGTTATGAGCGTCATAGGCATCCGGGGTATAGAGGCCGAGCTCGTGGAGGTGCGTCCGTTTTGAGTCCTTCAACGCCTACAACAAGTTTCGTTGTTGTGTTCTTCCGAAAGGAAGAAATATAACAGCTCGGGGAAGGGGGGGGTGTCTCTCTAAAGTAAGCAGAAAGACAGGTAAAAGAGGTGTGTGGTTGCAGGAATAGGTTGGTCGGAATGGCTGCCTGGAGAGAGGTAGTAGAATGTATTGAGGCCGCCGTCCCCCCCGCCCCCCCCCTTGCCTTGAAATACACACCGCACCTCCCTCGGCAGGCCGTGTATCCCATCCCAATTAAGGGGAGCACTCTGCGAGAAGACCTTTACGCTCTGGAGGCTTGCCGGTTGATCAAGATTGACAAGGTTGCGAATGAGACGCACCCCGGACAATCCCAGGCTGCTGCCGCCGCTGCCGCAGCCGAGATGTTCGCTGCGGGTTCGCGGACCGAAAGAGAACGCACACGTCATCACCGTGACCACCACAAGCTGACACTCTCTTTCAGGGATCTGGTAATCCATCAGGTGAGTGTGGCTGCTTCCACATTCGCGGCGAAGGCAGCAGCGGCGGTAGCAGCCCAACAGCAATTAGCGACAACAACATCTGTTTGTAACTGTCAGCAGAAGAATGCAACTGGTGTTGTAGTTTGAACAGCCACCATGCCGTAGGAATCATAGGTAGGCCTATCAGCAGCGCGACGCGAAGGGTCGAACAACGAATAACTCTTCTTGTCGAGACGCGGAATGCGCCCCAACCTTTCCTCCCACGCGCGTCGCGTGCGCCGCGGAATGCCGTTCCCAAGGTCGTCTACAAGAGACTGAGTCACAACCACCGAAACCAGCTGCACGGAAGCATCGCCGATTGGCTATCGCATCGGCAGCAACAAAGCGCGAAGTCGGTAGGTCGAAAGCATACCTTTGCGCGAGGCAGTCACAACTGGGTGGTCCATGCGTGGCAACGGCCCGTTTGCGCGTACGAGGACGTTTCAGAGTTCCTTGCGATATTGACCCTGAAAGGCCTTTCTTTCTCTTGCTGCGCTTTCAGTGCGGTCTTGTAGGCTTCGTTGGCTTGGCAGAGGGCAAAGGGAAGGCAGCACGTTTCGCCGTCATCAGGACGGTGTTCTGCGGGTTTCATTGGCGGTCGTATAGTTTGTATGTTGTCACGGAAACTGAAAGAAAAGGCACAGCCATAGTTCTGTAACCTCAGATCGGAGCAAGCCCCACGGGAAGGAGATACGCTTGTTGCTGAACTAGAGGTGCGTGGCGAGAAGAGAGAGCAGCGTTAGACAAGAGAATCCCTCCATTGATTCCCCATCAGGAGGAACTGACCGTTGGAGACACAAGAGGCGGCGCTCGGAGGCGGGGCTCCTTCGAGGGCGGTAAAGCAGTGGCAATGGGGGAAACTGTGGCGCCTACACAGTTCACCCCGATGATAGTTCACCATTTGACCCTGGCACATCACGAGCAAAAGGTGGCGTGATTCGACTTGACTTTCGCCTGGAGCACTCGGCTAGTATCAAACTTGTTGTTTGGTGTACACTGCTGCCGTATATTACTGGTGCTCGCTGCAAACAGATACCCGTGGTTCCTGTATATGACCTTCTACTTGAAACGGTATCCGTACGATCGCTCGGTTGTTGTTATGTTGCGTACTAAATACTCCTCGGCCTCCGGGAATTCAGCTGCTCTCTCCTCTGCCACACATCCACACTCCCGGCCTCGTTCCTGTCTTCCGAACCCCGGGAAACCCTCCTTCAAGCGCCGATTCAAGGATTCTTCTACCCGGGCCTGCCCAGTGACTTTAACTATTCGTGACCCTGGCTCGACAACACCGGGTCCAATAGCCCGCCTCCATGCCTAGCGCGCCCAAATCTGTCCTTTCTCAGGCTATGATCCGAGCCCATATCTTCGGTGTGAAAGAGCTGGAGCAGTGGGCGATGGGAACTTTCGCCGTGATTCTTGAAAAACACGCTGTCGGGGTCCCTGAAGACCTGCTCCGCCTCGCCAAGGGCTGCAAGGAATTCATGTGGTAAGAGAGCAATACAGATTCTTGCGTATTCTATCGAGCGCAAAGAATTCCTTCAGCCTTACAATAGGCGGCTTCCTGAAAACTGGTTTGCCGAATACCCACAACATTTGATGACTGGCCGTGTAGAAGAGCCCGCCCCAAAGGTATCAATGTGCTTGGTAGAAGAGCGATCCCTCTTTTATCACACCACAACTCAACAACTTCCTCTAGCTTGGTCCGTTTCGCCGAGGGTTACCTCAAGAATTTGCGTCGTGAACGCAGGTGGCCCCGGGGTAAAATTTATCACGGTACAACGAAGGACCCGAAACCAAGCGGACGGCATGTCCATCTTCGGACGTTTTTGTCGCTTCTGCCCGGAGGGCTTTTCGGCACCCTCCTGCTTGGAGCATTCTTGCTCCAGGTCTCGAAACGTCAGCCGTGACCCATCCCTGTTCTCCAATTGTCCCGGTCCCTGCGGTCCCCGCTTCCCGCCCGTTGACGAACCCAGGTTGTGTCCGAACCTCATTGGGATCCTCAAGACGCTCCTTGCCATCCGGTCTGGCGCTGGGGTCAGCAACGCCACCACGAAGTTTCGTGACACAATGCGCTCTACGAGGGCGGAGAGGTTCGTCAACTTTAAGAGAATCGGAGCCGTGGTTCGGGGCAGCAGACTGTCGGGAATAGCGTATGGTCTAGTTTACTTCGTAGTGCATTGAGTTTTCTCCGATTCCTACCTCCAGTTGGCCTGTCGACAACCGGATGGTGGTGAAAGCGCGAATTTTCGATAAAAAAACGTTGTTGTGGCCTTGAAGAGGCAAAATCATCGGCCCTTTTTTCCACACTTCGAACAATGGGGAAATCGCTCCCTGCCACACATCCTCTGCTCACTGCTCCCAACGACGATTGCTGGGGACCTTCGTCCTGTTGCTTTCAGATGGCGTAAATCTCGTGTGAACAGCGTTTCAAACGATCGTTTTTCCTTCTCTCCCGGATGCGAACCGCTTTAGGGTGGAATCTTGGCACCGGGACAGCACCTCAGACGTGCTACCGGCAATGAAAGAAGAGGAACAGGAGAGGGACGCGGCGCGGGAAAGCCCCACGCCCGTGTTGATTGGAAGTGGCGAGGAAGAGAGACCTGAGTCAGTCGAGCCAGAGGCTACGATGCCCGTGCACCAGCCGCAAGATGAGCTCGAACTTATTGGAGATTTGGAAGGCACCCGGTCGCTGACTCTCAGAGGCGTACGGAAAACACATGGAGACAAGAAGACTCGCCGCTGTTCCACGTCTTCGGCCACGGGTACTCGAACGCCCTGTCCGCTTGCCTCGAATAGACGAGGAAAAATGCCTTCCCCCGCAGCAGCAGCGGCAGGGCTAAGGGACACTGGGCGACTGCAATCAAAACAAAAAGGACTAGGAGGAGAGAAATGGAGCAAAAAGCGCGGTGTAAGCAGCGGGGGCGGCGAACGGAAGGGCAAGCGTCAGTATTTGCCGCCATTGTCGCTGGAGCAGCAGCAATCTTGGTCGTCGGCGCCCTCCGCCGCCCTTTCTCGCTCGCTGACAGGTGTTCACTCGATATACTCATCGCTCGGCGGCGCGGGAAGGGGTTCAAGGCCAAGAACCTTCGGTGTTATCACTGGCCCATTCACGAGCAGGCAGAGGTCGTTCAGGAACAGACATATGAGGCCACGGACGGCGGACGGTACCACGAGCCCCACCCGTTCAGGGGTATTGATATTCGTCACCACAAGGAGCAATTTCGATTTTTCTGGGCAACAGCAGGGTGCCGTCGAGTCAGCGACGAGCCGCAGCGGTCATAGCCCAACGCGAACAAGAAGTTGCTCGACCGCTCGTCCCCACCACTGCGGCGGCGTGAAGAGCACAGTGAACAGGCGCCGCGGGTTTGGGACCGAGGGCACAAGCAACAACGCACAAGCGCACGGCTCGAACTCGGATCGGCTGTCACCGTCGCCCAGGCAGAATCAGCAGCCAAAGACGGTGCCACTCGATACGATACGTACCCCATCGCACCGGGAGGAAGACGGGCCTTGTACCTGGTTTCGTGCCGAAACCCCCTCGTACATGTCTAGTGGGCTTGATCAGCACACCCAAGGGTCGTGGAAAGGAGGCGGGGGCGGCGGCGGTAGGATAGAGAACAAAACGGATTCTTCGGATGACCGTCATCGCAGAGCTATTCGCCGTGTGCGGGCCCGAACCGCAATGTCGGCAAAGAGAACGGGGCCTGCGGCCGCCTCAGCAAAGGCAGACGTTTGTCGCCGCCAGGATCTGATCATGTCGCCCGAAAGGGCAGCGGCTCGGCTGGCCAATATCCGCAAGGTGTATGGGTCGGGGGGCACCAAACGCATTTGGTTGTAATCTGCGCGACACCGCAGAATTTTAGAGGTCGATTCCGTGGGCATCGTTCAAGGACGAGGCAGACGGTGAAGGAAGGTGTATTGATCGGTTGCTCGCCAAACGTTTTCAAGGCGGCTTACGCGCCAAAGGGTGCCTTCAGACCCATGTTGTTGCGCGAGTTTTAGTTCGCGAACGCCGTGTTGCTTGGTAAGCATTGTATTTCTCGGGGTATACGGCTCCTTTCGTTTGCACGAATGAGACAATTTTCCTGGTTGTCACATGAGTAGGAAAGCGCGTGAAGTTCTCAGAGAATACATTGTGCCGGCGTGCCCAGTGGTTTGCCCACATCATGTCGGAGATTGAAAAGGCGACGCGAAGATATGTCGGTTGAATATGTTGAGCGAAAGCAGTGGACAGCACGCTCGTGTGGCCAGATAGCATCTCAGAATGGTGGCCTGGGCCACCCTGGATTTCAAGTCCGCAAAAGAGCGTGGGAATTGGTACTACAGAAAATCCTATCGATTAAGTTCAGGAAGACAAGCAGGGATACCCCCTTAGACAATGCCCTTCAATATTTCTTTTGGAGGGTTTCGACTTCTGTCCTACACTACTCCGATGTACGTCTGTGCTTGTACGTTCTACTTCATCTTGTCCAACGTGTCGGTCACCATAGTTGGCGAAACTTTTCGCTCAACATGGACTCTTGTGCCCAAACGCCTTGGTGGGACTCCCGTGCTACCCTCCTCCTCAGACTTAGACCCCCTCGTGTTGTTGAGAACGAAGGTTATCGAAACGTATCGTTGAGAAGGGCTATCCTCTCGAGCGTTTCCCTCCCGCCGTGTCGTCGATACTCCCGGTCGTAGTCCCCCCCTCTCTGCTCGCAATATCCCCTGTACAGCCTAGCCTTTGCCGCAGCCCCGACGCCCACACTGTCCACGCCCACTCGTATACGCACGTCAATATCCCCTCCTGCGGCATCGAAACCCTCGGTGACACTCCTATCGCGGGTGCCACCACTCCGGCTACGAAGTCCTCCCCCTGAGCCAGCGCCATCACACGCCTCAAACATATTGCTTTCATGGTGCTTGCCGCAACGGGTAACCTTCCCGTGGTCGATGCACGCCTCGGTTGAGTGTGTGGCTGTAGTTGTTGATGGTCGTCGAGCCCCTTTTTCAGCCCGGGGGGTCCGGTCGCGAACCCGGGTTGTTCTGCCGGCGAAGATGTTAGCATTACCTGTTGCTCCACGGCAAGATACTAGCAGCTGGGCGTTAGGGCGAGAAGTAGCATCGCGGAAGTGTGGCGAGAGCTGCTTCTGCGGCTGTTTTTGTGGATCCAGCTGTCGGCGAGCTCCTTCGAAAGCGACGCTAGTTTCCAGCTCTTTGCGGCCCCACCGATCGCCATGTTCGTTGGGGTAGTTGTTGCTATTGTCGGCAGCGGCGTTGATGTTGGTGTTGTTACTGGTGCATCTCCCTGCCGTGCCGTGAACACGGCTCTCTTGCGGTGTTCTCGTGCACGTGACGGCTGTAGTCACCAGCCTGTTCGAAATAAGCGTGCGACCGAGTCGTTCGGCGTTGACGACAATCGAAAGGAACAGGATAGTAGCAGGGAGTAAAAACACTGTCATCGTAAGGTGCGAAACGTAGTTCACGTGCTAGCGGTGGCGATATTTACAACAGACAAAAGGGGAGGATGCGGGAAATACAATTCAGGTAGAAGTACATATTCCCTTTTGCGTGTCAACAGCAAGTCCAAACATTGTTCCTTGCTGCTTCAAGGACCTGTTAGCAGCGGAGTTGTGTGGTTCGTTCATTGTCAACGACGAAAACTCGCTCCATCAGCTATCACAAAACATGGGACCCCACTGGTGCCCGTCCCTTCCGTCGAAGCTCGACTGCATCTCATGATTCCTCACCCCACCAAGCTCCCATGACCCGCATCTAGTTCGGCGATAACCTCGAACAATCCTTGTCCACGAAACACAACTGGCGGCAGAAATTCTACCGGCGCCACGCCGCCCACAAGAAGCTTTTCTGAGGATTCTAGAACCAGACCGTGACAACCCACCTCACGCGCCCACCCACACCCAAAAGCAGCCACGTGCCGTGAGCGACATCGTTTGTGTGGAAAGAGCTTCACCTTGTAGCGTGTGAGGAAGAACATAACCCTCTGGCCGTCTCTCCGTCCCCCGTTGCCGTACTCATCGGCCACACCCTTGCCCCCGGCGTGGAAGCCGCCTGCGAGGGCGGCGTCGGCCCCGCAGACTTGTTCTTGACGGGTCCACAACAAACCGCCCGAGGAGGAGTTTTCGCGAAGCCATATCCGAGGCTCGTGCCAGTGGTGGGTGACGTTGTTGTGCGGCTCGCGGCTCGGCTCGAGCGCGCCCGCGCCCTGCTCGCAACCATTTTCCGAGCCTCTGGGCTGCGGAAGGAGGAAAGAGGGAGTGAGGTGGGAGTGAAAGGGGTGTGGGTACGTGGGCGGGCGGGCGGGCGGGGGCGTGCATTGATTGTATACACACCATGATTGGCAACCCTAGCGACGGCGCGTCATCGAGTTGCAACAGCGATTGTATGTTTAACTTGCTGGTGGTGCACACGACCTACCCTGCCCTCTAGAGGAAAAACCGCTTACGTGTACGATCCCGAAGGAGTTTTTTCTGACAGAGGTCAAGAAACACGAAAATAAGGAAGTGATGAACACGTTCGACGCTGCACATCAGTCGTGCCTGGAATCGGCCACGTCACTAACCTGGCAGCGACTCTTACCTGCACGGGTATGGGAACACGTATCCAAGGGTGGTGCTAGTAGCGAAGAGAGCTTCCCCTGTCCTTCGAGCCCCGCCTGGCCTGTCCCTGTCCAACTGGGTCGCCGTGCGTGCTTTACCAGCATTCGCAGCCTTTACCTACATTAAACACAGGCGGGTCCTTGAGAGCTAAGATCCTTTTGGAATTTTCTTCGCATCACACGGGCATGTTCCAGGGAACTCAAATAGTCGGAGGACGAATAAAGCTCACCGCCAGTACGACATGGACTGATAATACCGAGCTTTTGAAAGAGAGTGTGATCACGCGTACGAGTTGAGGCGGACGGGGGGAACGGGTTCGTCCTCGCGTCCCTTTGCCAGTCCTCGTTGGTGACCACAGGCAGAGCTCGGTTTGGAGGCAGCAAGGACCGCAATCTCTTTGCTCTTCAAGACACATATGCCTATTACCTTACGGTCGCACGCCTTCAGGGACGAACCGTAAAGTCCGTACATCGACGTATTTAATCTCTCGCTAACTACATGCTATCGTCTCATTTGCCTGCCACCTGTGGGCTCTAGCACCTTCTTTGGTTGCAAACCGGTTTGGGCGGGAATTTTTCCTACCGCGCCTCTGTCAACCAGACAAATTCTTGCATTAAGAACAATGAATCCTGCAACAGAGAAGAACCTTGAGACACCCGTGCACTGTGTACAACCTTTCGGGGATTGAAACCTCGAAAAATAGAACCGCAGTTTCGTACTAGATTCTCCGGGTGCCCAGTCCATGGAAAAGGACATTTACGAGCGTAGCTGCACTTTGTATGTGTCACCTTCTACAGTGCTCAGCCGCAACCCCAACTAAGGATACGTCTCTCACTATTCTGCATCAAGAAAGCTTATCTCGCACTTGTCTGTATCTTACCTCGTCCGCCGGCCCAAGCTCTAGGGTGGCCGCTGTGGAGGACCAGCCCTTAATAGCAGAGGCAGTAGCAGCAGCGGCACCAGAGGAAGCAGATTCCAACCGGGTCTGCGCCCGTCGACGCGCGGCTAGCAAAGTTGCAGACGCTTCTAGGAAGTTTTTTGTTCTTCTCAGACGCGGTGCAGTCGAAGGCTGGGGCGGTGGCGCGTTTTCCGCAATCCCAGTGTTCCCCTTACACGGGGTCGGGGCTGGAGCCCGTCCTCCTCCTCCTCCTCCCATTGGAACGGCCGCAAGATGTGACATGTTTTCGGCGTCTTCCTTCTCCTCCTCCGCTACCGGCGTGAACGGTCCCTCGTAGTAGAAGCGAGGAATGAATCTCGTGGCAACTTCCTGGGTTCGTTGTTTCGACAAACCACGTTGGTGAAAAACGAAAACGAGACTCTCTTGAACGTCAGGGGCCTAACTTCGCCAACTATGGGCGACAAAAACGCTCAGGTGAAAACGATGTCAACCTGTCATGAATATCAAGGACTAAACTTGACTAGCCCTGGGCCGCAAAGGAAATGTCCCGCTGGTGTTCCTTGCGCTGCGAGTGCCGCTAGTGCAGACACGGCACAAGAATCTCGTGCACACTGACGGCTTCACGAGTGGAGGATAGTGCAGCTTGATTGTGAGCGCGACTTTGCATTGAGGTGGCATTGAGGAAGCATACTTTGAGGCGCGCACACCCGCTGGAGTATGAACGAGGAGGGGGAAACGAAAGGCCAAGTATACGGAGACGCTCTGCGCGGCGACCGTGCACCATGTGTAGCGAAGCGAACATTCTTTTCCCGGGATCTACGATGCGCACCTGCAGCATGACTTGTCTAGCTGCTTGGAAGATTCTAATTTCTTGCTGGGCTCATGGGTTCTTGTGGCTCTTTGTTTACCTCGTGCAGGGAAGCGAGAAGCCTCTTGCCCTCCCGACCGCCCTTCGTGTCCAAGAACGGGTAGCAGTTGCACAGCACGGTCTGCACCCCGTGGCGAACCGCCGCCACCGCGATGGGTAGGTGTACAAGTCTCGCCTGACGGGACGCCCCAAGCGACGACCTGGCAAGGGCATGGAGAACAACTGTGCTGAGTTCCCACCTGTTTCCCATGATCCTCTTATTGCAACGGACGGATATGACCATCTTCCCAGTCCACTGCCGTTTGATTGGTCCTGTTTGTGCCCTTACTTCGCCGGGGTCAACAACACATCTGAACAACCGACTCGTCTGATTTGATGTTCGGGACGGAATTCCACACTCGATACCAGGTCGGACAGGTTGGTTCCCCCTCCCTCTTATCGTCCACGGGCACAATACTGTAGTTCCATTCCTTTCCCCTTCTTGTGCTGTACTGACTCACCACATATCACCGTTAGCACATGTTGACTGACACATCGGTGACAACTTCGAAGCGAGTCGACCCAATCAACGACCGCGTTGACGCAAACCTCCGACAATAGCGAAGGGTACAGTACACTCTCCGCTTCGTCGGGGATTAAAAAAAAAACAATAGCGACAACGGGGACGGTCGAAACTGCAGAGTATCACCTGGAACGAGCCTCCCAAGGTCAAGATCTACAGGTTTGCGCTGACGAACTGCTTCACCTCAGGCTAGACCAGGATTCGACCACCGCCACGAACAAACTCTCCGCCTCGTCCGAGGCCAGCTCGGGACGTAATTGCCGCTTCCCTGCCTCCTGTGCATAGGACGGCACACAAGCACTTGTAGCTGAAAGTATGGCACCCATCGGGGCCGCCGTGGATGCCACCACCTAAACGGTTGGTACTAAGCAGCTCTGTGTAGGTGAACTCGAAGAGGCATGAGCAAACAGGACCGCACATCATGACAGTTAAGTACCAGCACCAGAAGCAACACAATAGTACTTTGGGTCAGACCACCTGTGGAGGCACCAAAGCCCTGTTCGATGTTGCCGCCAGACTCCTCGCGTCCTCCTTGCTGAGTGAAGGATGCTGATGTGGTCCTTGCTCTGTTCCCTCTTCTTTTGTGTGAATAGAAGATCACGTATCGAAACATGAAACATAGGAGTGGCAGGACGAATTGCGTCGCAAGGAGTAACGAGTTGACGGTCGGGGGACTGTGCTACGATTGTGACCCGGATCGGAGTTCCTCAGCTAGAGAGAAGAACGTTCTAGACATACGGAGAGCGAAGACTACCATTGACAACCGTTACATTGTATTGCAACTCGAATGCCTCGTGCCTCCTCAAGTTCTCCTTTCTAAGTTGGGGTATGACAGAGGCATCGAACTGTTCGCTGACCCCCCAAAAAAATACTTGAAGTTGAACGGACGCACCCGAGCCCGAGTGCGCTCTGTGTTCTACCTGCGTGGTCCTCGTGATGTATGCTGTTGCTACCATTGCTCTCGTGTTCTCCTTGCTTGGATGTTGCTGCTGCTGGTGTTGCTGTCGTCACTCGCGGGGAATGTCCAACGGTGGTGCCTGAATTAAGTGCCCTACTGCTACCGCCGCTGCTCGCATCGCCGATCTCCACGCGAGACTGTGATCGAGGAGGCGAGGAGAAGACTCCTTCATTGGTGCAAATGATATTCGTTTATTGGTTTCGGAGAGGCGGTACGACTTCTTTGAGGAAGCAATGAGCACGAGGGTAATTGCTTGCAATCCTGGAGCATCTCGTTCACATTCCATGGGCAGTCACAGCTTGAAACTTCAACGGGTTCGAAGCACTTCAGGTCATGATAGAATTCGGTTGTATTTACTCACGAGGACGTCTGACAGACTGAGAACAAGATTGACGTTGTACCTCTAACAGAAAACAAAGGACCAGTACACATGACTTCATGTGTGCAGCGTCGACTGGGGGGCACGTATAGCCCAAAGGGTGAGCTTGAGACCGGTGCTGGCATACGCTTGTGTTGCCATGAATACAACGCTATCAAGAACAAATGTCACGCGTTGAATACCAAGCACCAAGCAGGTGTGTGTGTGTGTGTGTTTTCGTCCTATTTATTATGGCGACAGTCCCCCCTTTTTTCGTGGTGAGACGTGTACTACACTTTTCAGCGTATGTAGAGTACTACACTTTTCAGCGTATTTTTCGTACAACTACAACCATCCAGGGTCACACAGGAGGGGGTAAACACCGGGGCTTTTTTCTTCTTTTTATTTCTTTTCATGCCCCACCTTTCTCCTGCGGTGCGTGCTGAATTTTATTTTAATCGCGAGAAGGGTCCAGCCGTCCCTTTCCCTCGTCAACGGTGCTAACGTCGAAGTTTGGTACTCACGAGAGCTTTTTTAGCTATATTTCGCTTTCACCCGCAAATTTCGTAAAATGTTCACCCCATGGGGATTCGAACTCACGACCTCTGCGACTAGCGGATTACGAGGATACCACTCGAAACCAAGAACTTAAAACGTCACACCCTCACCTTCTGTTTCCTCATGGACAAGCGGTAGTCGTTCTTGAGAAGCACGCAGTCGTCGCGGTCCTTGTGCGCCAGCACGAAGGGGAGCAACATGATCCAGTACAGGTAGTGGGACAGCAACCTTAACCCAAAACATCGAGAGAAGCAAACACAGCGAATAAGAAGCAGAACAATGCACGGCTTCTGCACATCGAATCAAAAAGCATTCAAAGTTTATGTCATGGGGATGGAATCAGTTCAGCGTATCATGTTATCCGGCGAAAACACGGCCCTTTGACAAGCCAAATACAACCAACCGCTGTTGGAAAAACAAACTCAAGCTTTCCTTTCATTCAAAATGGCGATCTTGGAAGTTTGACATGTAAAGACGTTTGGTCTTCGCAACGTCATGCACATTGAACCCCCTACCTATGTGCGTCTTGAACCCAGACAGAAAATCATAACAAACAGTAGTGCCTCCATCTGCAAAAGCAGGGGTGGGGAAACTCGTCCAAACGGAATAGATCGGCCGTGGTACAAAGTATCGTCGCCATCTGCTTGTTGCCTCCTCTCACCCGATTAGCCTCCCTGGCCCCTCGGACGTGATAATATTCTTGAGCGAAGACCGCACTGAAATATCTTTGAACTTTTCTCCGTGTTTGTGGAACGCAAAATTCCTGGCGAAAGCGGCTTGGACCGTTGCAATAGCTGACATGCCCACCTTTAAGATGAAAAGAAACATCCAAAGAAGGCAGGCCACATGCGCAGACAGTACGCAGCAGGTGGACGCGGGGGTGGCGGAGGACAGACTTCTTTTAACTCTATTCAGCGAACTTATCACGGCCCACCATCTGAACCCAAACGTCACGCATGGCACACCGTGCTGCACAATACGGGTTATACGTTATCGTCCTATAAGTTCAATTTCGTCATCAACAATGCCATCGATACTTGGACTATGCGAACGTGGCAGAAGCTGCACCTTCATCCAAAAGCTCTGCATTCGCGACTAGGATATATAGCGGGAAAAGCGACAACCGAATTCATTCGCGCATCACCTTGGGAGGGTCGAGCATCTTTCTTCTCTCTTGAGCAAACTCCACCGCATCGCAGGGCACCTGCTCGTCAAAAGTTCCGCCACCGCCGCCATCGCCCACGGCAACAACATCACCTCCCACGCCCCCACTCTGGCGCAAGGCCGCCGGGAATATTTTGGAAACCCCATCCCCGGACGCTCCGGTGCTCGCTTGTCGGCCGCGCTGATGGCCCCGCTCCCGTTGAGTGCGCTTGTCGAAGTTGCGGTTGTTGGTAAGAACCACGCAACTCGTCTCGGTGTTCCTCATCGCCAGGTCGCCGTTTTGTCGGCGCCAGGCGTTCCGGTCGCGGGCGGTGGTTGTTGCCGCTTTCGACTGAGGCGACGGCAACGTCGCTGCTGCCCCCCCAGCCGTATCAGCACGATGCGCACCATCCTTGCCCGTAGTTGTTTCCATCATGACCGGCAGGATGGCGGATGATACGGCGTCCACGAAAACACTGACCTATTGATATCGTGCGTTTATTGCACAGGGGGTGGAAGCGGTGGGGGGATGGCGGTGACGGTGCGTGCACCGGCAAGCAGGGCATGACGCTTTGGTCCTATTTCCAAGCTCATCGTCCGACTTCTCTCAGCATACCGGACTCTGCTTCTTCATAAAGACACAAGATCGGGATTCCACCAAGAAGAAAGGGGAGACAGACCAGTCCTTGCCGTGTTGACCCAATCCAACAGCCTCCGATGCTAATTTATTGTGCCTGTTTAGTTGACAATCCCCCGCGTGACGAAGTGCGGCATGGTACCTTGTGAGGACTAGCTTTTCCCATGCTTGACGCTGGTTGCGTCGTCGTGGCCGGCCTGCGATTCTCGTTGGTGTGTGTGCGAATATTTTTCCTACCCTCGCTGTCGCCGTTGTTGTAGCGCTCAGTCGCAGCATCCTTGGCACCTTCACAGCCGGCAGGCTGTAGTTCATCGGCACGTGCAAAGCCGAGGAGAGAAAGCCGAGAGGCTGAATGGTATTGGTATGAAACGAACACCAGACATGAGTTTGTTGAGTGTGAGACAAGTACTAACGTTCGTCCTCTCAGGCCGGGATTTACGCCGTGACGCCTCGCCAAACAGATGCCCACTACCTATGGTTGACGAAGGTGGTGGAATAAATGGAAGACGTGGAGGTCCGATTGTTGTTTCTACATACATTAGAGCATGACAGTAGTCCTCCGCTTACGTTGGATAACGGAAAAAGCGGAATTTATCCACGGCGAAGGAAGTGTCCATGAGGTACATGTTTTGCCAAGGATTCGTGCAACCTCACGGGTACACCAATGTAATGCTTGCAGTGCCGTAGAATGGCATGCCACAGAGGGTATCTCGACAGCAAAGGATACCGGCTTGGAGGTGATGACCCTGGAACGATGGCATTCAATCAGCCAGATTTCAGAACGAGAACGACTTAAAAATATCAAGACACCTGCGATCCGTTTCCGCCTTTGCCGTTCCCCGACGAGACGTTGGCCAGCAGCGAGCCCCCAGCAGGCGGAGGTAAAGCTTCCCCCAACGACCCTCCCGCTCCCCCAACATTTTGGTGTCCTCCCGGCTGAATGATTATTGCGTCTGCCAAGCAACCTCTGCTTCTCCACGCCGCGGTTACCGAGCAGGCCTCAAGCGGCATCTCTTTGAGTACCACCCTGCAGTTCTCCATGGTCGGGGTTGCCCCAATCTGTGCCAGGAGTAGAAAAAGAAGGGTAGGTACAGACGTCGTGTTCTTCTGACGGCCGTCGTACGACGGCATTTACGTTCAGATACGGCATGAACACGGCACAGCACATACAAGTATATTTATCGTATATGACAAAAGACAACATATCCCCTGGATCAATTTTCAAAGCTCGATTACGCCACGACGAAGAGGATGCATAAAAGAAACCATACATTTCGGAAAGCTCTCGACGAGAAAGCTTCAACGCCAGCCACCGTTTTCGGCGCTGTGACTCCTCCTGCTGTTGAGAAATCGAGGTTTGAAAATCGGTCCAGGGAGTGGATTATCTTGTGTCATATACGACAACTAATTTATCTACTTTGGCGTTCGCCAAAATTTTTAAGCACAAGCCAAAAAAGGTCCTGCCTGTAGGCGCGGTGGTGCATTTTTTTTTTTATTCTCCCATGATTGGATTTCTGTCTTCTGCCCCTCTGGCCCCTATCCTCCACTTCTACTATTAGCTAGACGACCCATCCGGGGTCACATAGGAGGGGCCTACAAATAATTCTGTGGGTGTCGGGTCTGTTCGGCTCCATGGGCGTGGGATCATGCGATATGTCGACTATCCTCCGTCAAGAACGCAGTGCAAAAGGTTTGGGGTACCCCCAGACCCCCACCCACCTCGCAAAGGTATCGCATGGCGAACTCGAGGGCGATGTGCTTCTGGAAGTTGGCTGGGAATGCCACGGGCTTGGAAGTGTCTTTAAGGGGTATGGAGAACGACAGAGGTTGAGTCGCGGCAACAGCAGCGCTGCCGCCCGCAGCTCCAGGCTTGTACCTCGCTCTGCGGCCTGACATTGTGCACCGGGCACGACAGGTTGGCGCTCAAGCTCTACAGCAGTGCATGTTTGTCACATCCTTTTTTCCGGCAGAGAGGATGGAATAAGCTCACACGTAGTAGCGCGGTGTGTTGCTGCCTCTGCACGTGGGAGAGTCCCACCCCTTCGCCAGAGGTTCCAGGCATATTTATTCCGTCCATCGCACACTCGCACATGCCGCGGGCTCTTCGATACATTGATTGGCATACACATGAAACCGTCGGTGTCATGCGTGCTTTTCGTCGACGACGACGTCTTGGTTGACCCCCGCACGATTTATTTTCATAATAAACCTGGTACGTACTGCTGTCAACTCACAAAGATCAGGCGCACGCTATAGGAAAGCATCGGCGGTGGGACAACAAGCATGGCCTACAATCCGACTGGTGAGCCCGAGAGAGAGAGAGAGAGAGAGAGAGAGAGAGAGAGAGAGA